AGCTACATACCGAGAAAATTCCGAAAAGGCCAGTTGGTTTCTCTCCTTTGCCACCAGTGTCCTGCATAGCTTTTAATACTGTCATGGCTTCATCTTCGCTGATGCCATGGTAGTATATAATTGACTTCTGGGCTTCTTCACTTTTACCTTTAGACATCAGGAAACTTAAATATGCTTACTATGGAGTAGCTCAAACTGTTGATATTTAAATATGATACTATGCTTGATCGCTGACCTTGGACTTTCTGGACAAGGAATCATGAAAATAGTGACCAGAAGGGTAAGAGCTGCTTCTACTCCATACACCAACCACCATTTTTCAACAGTTCCAAATATCTGGAATACTAGCTTTCAAGACAATTTTAACTTGGCAGCAAAATCTGTTGAAATCGACGTCAGAAAAGCTATTAATTGCTTGATGTAGAGTTTTGTTTTTCTTCTTGCACTTTTTGAAAACTATATTGAACCGATATGCTTTGCTTAACTCAGGCATAGCAGTTATAGCTGCAACTACTAGTCCAACTTGCAGCATTAATCCAGTAGAGACCGAAATCATTCCTCGACAATATACAGGGCTGAAATAGGAATTTTCACTACAAAATAAATGAATTAGATATCTGCATGGACAGCCATGTCGAAAATGCGTGCGACATGTTATTTGTGCAGCTTATTTTTTTATGGGACTACTTTAGCTGAGATGTACTGAGGTGGTAGCAATTATCATCAACACAGGGACGAACTATGAATATTTAATTAGAGCTAAAGTAGGTTTCAATAAAATAGATTTGTATAGACTCGATGAATTTTTATTTTAAACATTTTTTTAAAATTGTTCTTAGGTTGCGAACAGTCGTAGCCATTTTACCGAGAATGGCCGTGAAGCATATTAGTCGATTTCGGCTAACATGCCCTTACATATGCTTATCGTTCCTTTTTTTCCTTTTCAGAAAAGTTCCTCCGAACGAGCTAACATCATCAAATAGGTCGCCACTTAACCAATCACTTCACTATAAATCTTCTACTTCGTATTCATTGCGCTGTGCTGTGATACTAACATGCTATGCTATAGTTGCATCCCAGAAGCTATATGAAGCCTTTCTCTTAAATTAATTTCAATCAATGCGCTCCGTGACTACAGAAGAGAATCGTGGTCTTTTTGCGTTCACCTCATGCTTTTGTTTTCAGTGATGCCAAGTAAGTTCGCGTTTTTTAGCAAAATAATCTAAACAAATCGATGGCTTTGACGAAGTGTTTAATACCGTTTGAATTATAATATTAACCGTAGGGTTCTGAAAAGGTTTTCTTTTGCATTTTAATGTAATTTTATGTGTTGTGTTAAAAACCACTCTTATTTCCCGGTAATGGCTATCCAGGTGATGAGTTCGTATCCTTTACCAGCGATGACGAAGCGAATTTTTGGTAATTCTTCATCATTCTTGAGCATCTCACAAAATAAGAAATGCCGTCAGATTTTAC